GCAGTGGTTAGAACTCCCACAGCCTGGAGTTCAAACCTGATGAGTTCAAAGTTGACTCAGCCTCCCATCCTTCTGAGGTTGGTAAAATGAGGACCTAGATTGTTGGGGGCAATATACTGACTCTGTGAACTGTTCAGAGAATGCTGTAAAACACTATACAGTGGTGTATAAGTCTAAGCGCTATTGCTATAGGCAAAATAAAACTAATATGATTAGGCAAATGAGCATTATCTTTTTTTAAATTTAATCCACTTTAAAGCGCCTATCTACTCTACTTCTGCACAGTTAAAAATGGCTACATGGATGGATATTAGTGGAAATTTTTGCTTTGAGAAGGAAAGTTGGATGATCAAAATGCCTACGATTAGTTAGAATGGAATCTTTTTACATTACAGGTTAAATCAGTTTGTTTAGTGACCATACAAAGTTGCAACGGTACTGAAAAAAGTGACATGACCATTTTTCACACTTATGACCATTGCAGCAACCCTTTTGTGATGTACATGTGATGTACATTTGATCATATTTATGACAGCTGCAGTGTTCTGGGATCTTGTGATTCCCTTTTGCAACCCTTTGACAAGCAAAGTCAATGAGGAAGCCAGATTCACTTAACAACTGTATTACTAACTTAACAACAGCAGTGATTGACTTAATAAATGTAGCAAGAAAAGTGGTGAAATGGGGCACAGCTCACTTAACAAAGTTCTCACTTAGCAGCATAAAATTTGGGGCTCAACTATAGTCATTAAGTTAAGGACTACCTGTATTTGTGAGGGTGGAAAAGATGAAGCTGTGTTATGCCTGAATTGCATAACCAATGTTTGCATAAATTGTACAAACCTAAGGAGACCTCCTCATATAAGAATAGTTATGCCCCCTTGCCTGAAAATACATCAGGCATTATTTCTGCAATATTTTTAGAAGTGGGCAATCCAAAAAAATGGTTCACAAAGTCTATTTTTCTTATCTCGTTAAATCTTCAATCTGCTGTACGAATATTTTCTGCTTCTTAGGGAAAATGAAAATGCTGACAGGCAATTTTCTTAGCATTCATTTCACTTTCTTTCATTGTATCATGTTCTTCCACCAGTATATGCACCATGGCTTTTCAGCCAGATTAAATATGACCCTTGCCATATCTCCCCCCCGCCTTCCCCCGCCCCCCATCACTATCCTCCCAAGTCACAAAATATGAAAATGTTAATATTTTAGAAGCTAGATTACTTCATTGTGTTCTATGATGCTCAGCCCTTGAGGACTATTCCTCAAGGACTCCATGTGCCAATGTGAAGAAGATATGTATGGAATGTGATAGCTCCCTTTCAAAGCACAAAAGATTAATTCTGACCATAAAAGCTTAGCTAAAGCACTTTCAGACTGGTATTCACAATGTTATGCCTGTGAATGTTTGTAAATCCATTGAAATTTACTAGTTTATGCAGTAAATGTGCAGAGAGTTGCAAATGATACTGCAATCCCAGATACGTGGGAGAAAATCTGTATAATATGTATTACTATTTACTTCCTAATACCTCTGATTTATAAATCTTTTGATTATTCTTCATGACCCACAAAACACGTTACCGTATTTATAGGAGTATAAGATGCACTAGAGTATAAGACACATCTAGATTTTGAAGAGGTAAATTAAAAAAAAATTTTTTTTTGCACTCTGCAGTCATTCCAGACACTCTGCATGCCTCATTTTTTGTGAAAAATGGAGCATGCAGAGAGTTTGAGAGGCCTGCAAAGTGCTCCTGGAGGCTGGGGGAAACGAACAAAAAATGGCCCATTTTTTGCAAAAGTGGGCCCATTTTTTTGCCCCCCAAAAGGGCATGCATAGCCTTTAGGAGGCTTGTAGAGTGCTCCTGGGGGCTAGGGGAGCAAAAACGAGCAAAATAGCTCATTTTTCATTCATTTGGGCCCTCCCCAGCCCCCAGGAGCACTCTACAAGCCTCCTAAAGGCTATGCATGCCCTTTTGGGGGGCAAAAAAAT